ATGTCTGCGCTATTAGTGCAGACAAATGAATTAGTGATTCAAATGAATGACTCAATCAAACAAATACCATATGAATGGCGAGCGACTGGTTTGTGGAGAATCTGTGGTCACATTGAGGCCACAGACATATGAATGGTAGGTCTGGTTCAGTGGACAGGGATGAGGAGCACGACTTGCAGTCCACTTCAGAGGTCTCATCACTCATGCAAATGCAATCTTCATTCGTGTCCATGTCTTGAGATTCTTCAGTTCTTGTCATACAATTGTCGTCTAAATTAAGCGCATCTTCTTGTGGTTCGTGTGATAACTGCTTTCCATCAGTGATTGTCTCGCCGTTAGTCATGTGTTGGATCTGTTGGTCATTGGACTCATTGAAGAGCTGTAAGAAGTGATTGACATCCAAATCGTTCAATCGCTTGGAAAGTGTCTCATCGGTGGTGTGAGTGATGGCGCGAATGAAACAGTTATGCATCGATTGGTTGGCGTCGAGGGTGTCATCAAATTGGATGACATAAACATATTTACCATCACTTTCTTTGCTGAAGATGTGTCCGACGAGTGTCTGCTTCTGGCGCTCGCTATCACCGATGGCGAACGTGGACTATGTGTGCATTAGCGACAACTACTGGTTGGGAACCACTAAACCCTGTCTCACGTACGGTCTCAGAGGGAACGCCTACTTCTACGTGGAGGTCGAGTGCGCCGCCAAAGACCTGCATTCGGGGTCTTATGGCGGGTCAGTACACGAGGCGATGACTGATCTCATGGTATTGTTGTCTAAACTGATCGACAGTAAGGGAAATATATTGGTTCCCGGAGTGATGGACGACGTGTTGGCTAAAACAGCGGCCGAGGAGGCCATGTATGAGAACATCGATTTCGACCACAACTTATACCGTCAAGAGATCGGAACCAAACGGCTCCTATTCGAGACAAAGTCCGAGATATTAGCCCATCGGTGGCGCTATCCGTCGCTCTCGATCCACGGCGTTGAGGGCGCCTTCGCAGGTCCCGGCGCTAAGACAGTGATCCCACGCAAAGTGATAGGCAAGTTCTCCATACGACTGGTGCCCGACCAGAATCCGGACAAAATCGGCGCACAAGTCATCGATTACCTGAAGAGTGAGTTCGCGAAACTGGATTCTCCTAACAGACTCACTGTCATCAGACGTAAGGCCAGTAGGCCGTGGGTGGCCGACACCGACAATAAGAACTTCACAGCTGGAAAGTTGGCCATCCGTTCAGGTTAGAGATTTTAAAAACTAATTTTATGATCCATTGCTTGATTGTAAGTCTCGATTGTATTGCAGTGTTTGGTGTGGACCCGGACCTGACCCGTGAGGGCGGTTCCATACCAGTGACCCTCACGTTCGAAGAGGTGACCGGAAAGAGTGTAATACTGTTGCCGATGGGAGGCTGTGATGACGGCGCCCACTCACAGAACGAGAAGATCGACAGAAACAACTATATTGAGGGCACAAAAGTGTTGGCCTCTTATATCTATCAGTTGTCTAAAGTGTAAACTAATTTTTGTGTAAAACAATTAAAATCATAACTTTTGATATACTAATGAATTTATACTCAGTGTTAGATGTATTTTATAACAATTAAAAAATTACTAAAATTCAAAATACCATATTGATTCTTTGTGTCAAAATAACTTTTGGGCTAAAACATTATGATAACACATGATTTGGTCAATTGTAAACAATTCTAAACAACGTTATTTATAATTTTTAATACAGAGTAAATCCAATACGTATTTAAAATATCACAACTGATGTTAACATTTATAAATTGAATAATTATTTATAAAGTTATAGAATTTCTCAAAAAGCTTGCAAATAGTTTGTATTTAAGGCATGACTTTGTATTTGAAGTGAGGTTTGTTGTAATAAATAGACTAAACAATTACCGGTAAGTTATTGTACCGGTATAAAAGTGTCAAATATATTGTCTCTAATATATTAATTTCTATAATTGGTAAGTATCCAAGGAATAAATCATTGGATTAATCAAATTCTTAATAAACTAATAGTTTTATATTAAGTTTGGTTTCACTAGATTTTGTCACAAATTAGTGGATTATCATTGATGTCTGAATCCAGTGGTGATGGAAACCAACTGCAATTCATTAGCTCTAAGGCCAATCTCTTATTCTTCTTGTTCTCCATCGGGTGTTCAGACAAATGGCGGACCATTTGGTCGATACGACTGCTTCTGATGAGTTCCGTGTCGTGTAAATCAAATTTCTGGAGAATAATAAACAAATGATTGCGAATCTCATAGAAGGGTAGACTTCCATCTGGCAGTGGACTCAACCACTCGCTTATCACATCCAGAACTCCCGCTTCGATAAAGACTTCACGCCATTCACGTCTTAACAGTTGCGACACAACTGATGGCAAGAGTTTCAGTTTTCTGGTCGAAGGCATTCCACACTTATTCAACTCAATGTCCTCCTAATTATCAGCAAAATAATGCATTAAAACATGTTTATAGGCTATAAACTATAGCAATAAATCTAAGGCAACGAATGGCTCACAAGTGCCGCCTCTTTCATCTGATCCACCAATTGTTCGGCCATTTGTATGGAGACATCCGTCTTAATCATCTTTCGGTGGCTTTGCATGTGATTCGTATTCCTCTTCCTCTTCGCACCGAAATCGCACACATTTTCTTTGATATGCTTTCTTCGCGAGTAATTACAAGACATGACTATCGGAAGGGTCAACACGTTATGGAGGAATACCTGGTGTGGTGTTTAAGAGTGATTTTCTGCGCAAAACTGAGTCCACAGTGCGGCCATTGGCATAGGAAGGGTCGCTCACCGGTATGTCTGCGCTATTAGTGCAGACAAATGAATTAGTGATTCAAATGAATGACTCAATCAAACAAATACCATATGAATGGCGAGCGACTGGTTTGTGGAGAATCTGTGGTCACATTGAGGCCACAGACAGATGAATGGCAGGTCTGGTTCAGTGGACAGGGATGAGGAGCACGACTTGCAGTCCACTTCAGAGGTCTCATCACTCATGCAAATGCAATCTTCATTCGTGTCCATGTCTTGAGATTCTTCAGCTCTTGTCATACAATTGTCGTCTAAATTAAGCGCATCTTCTTGTGGTTCGTGTGATAACTGCTTTCCATCAGTGATTGTCTCGCCGTTAGTCATGTGTTGGATCTGTTGGTCAGTGGACTCATTGGACTCATTGAAGAGCTGTAAGAAGTGATTGACATCCAAATCGTTCAATCGCTTGGAAAGTGTCTCATCGGTGGTGTGAGTGATGGCGCGAATAAGACAGTTATGCATCGATTGGTTGGCGTCGAGGGTGTCATCAAATTGGATGACATAAACATATTTACCATCACTTTCTTTGCTGAAGATGTGTCCGACGAGTGTCTGCTTCTGGCGCTCGCTATCACCGCACTGGCCATCAGCCACACCATCATCGGTGGTGTCCTTATCAACAGCTATTATCTCATACAAAGCCATACAATTAGCCATCAATTGTCACTTAATCTGCAGACATTTGATGCGATTTATGAAAAGTTTTGCGCAAAACTTGAACCGAAAAACGCATTGAAATGCAAATGAATGGCAAATAAATTGATTGTAAAAATGATTTGCAATTAAACTCAACACACGATTCAATAACTAATGAATGGATTTAAAGATTGAATTAAAAAAAACTTTAATTTTCAGCAAAACCTCTGTTTTTTGAGTCGCTTTTAAACGCTTACGTAATGTTCATATGTTTTCCTGTCAGTCTATGTAAACAACGTAGATATGCGCCGATAATCACCGCCTATTACACACACATAATGTCTAGGAATCTAATGAAGACGTTTACTATTAAAGGTACTGAATGTTCGTTGAGTATATATGAGGTTTTATTGTGTGGCATAAAAGGGGTAAACTTTTGAGGGCTGTTTTGGCAGAGCATAGGCTGCGAACCGTATGACAGCTTTGAATGCATAGGCAATGAGAGAGTGGAAAGTGAAGCGAAAAAAGTTTGTGAAGTGAGAGAAAAGTTGGCACAAGTTATCAGACAAAAAGCATACATTCAATGCATTTGAGGATTATATTAAAAAAAGTTATTAACAAAAGTGTTTTACGATTTGTTTAGATTTTGTTGGGAGTTATGAGTGTTTGAATTCAAGACACAGGTTTTGGGGTAAAAGTTTTTCTCCGTTAATTATCGACATGTTTATGGGTAAGTGTTATGCGATTAATAAAACTAAAATTGCGGTAATTTTTAGTTTTATAACTTATTTACTATATGTGAAAATAACCAGTAATTACCTGTAATAGCGTTGTGTGAGTTTATTTGGTGAACATATTGTGTGTATTTTATTAAAAAGTTTATTTTGAACTACTTTTTCACTAACTTTTGTGATAATTAATTTATTAATACCAATAGTTTTGTGCGAAATTATCACTACTGATAAACAAAATATAATTATTAATTAAATAAATATAGCATACATTATTATATACGTTTTTATGGTATATTTCTGTTGTCAAACGCGATATACGTTTATATTATCAATAATATTACATGAAATTTAATAAACTTTTTGTTTTTTGATGACTTAATAAATTTATAAAACATTTATATGACTTTATATATCATGCGATGCGATAGAAATATTTAAAAACGTAAGTAATTATACAGTAGTTTATTATATAAGTATACAAAACGATATAAAATTAGTTTATTATTCGTATATAAATGTCGCAAAAAGTATTTTATAAATAACTGTTTTGGTTATATACAGGAAAATAGTTTTTATGCAATAATTTTTATAAATATAATAATATTACAAGTACTGTATATTAAGTGGATATTATTGGTCGCTAAACTATTTTTGTACTATTTTTGAACAAATGTTTAAAAGTTAGAAAGACTGAACATATGAGTGCAAAAGTTTTGCTAAATTTAAAGTTATTATTATTATTCTCTAATACTTTTAGTATGTTTTATATATTCCTATAAATTAGTGTTGGATAAATACATGTCATTTCAAATGTATAAATAAGTTATTATACAATACACTTATAATTGGCATAATATATATCAAATGCCGAGGTTTAAATAAATTCTATTTAAAATTTCTATTTATTTAAATAATGCATTTTATTTTATCAAGCTAATTTAATGTCACTTTCATGTATTCTATCAATGAAATGGATAATATAATATTATGATGAAATTGATGTAATATTTGCAACACTAGTCTGAGAACATACAGTATAGAGGAATGTTTGTATGGAATAAGTATATGATAGGGAAATGTGTTTAAAATAAGGCTCAAAAAGTAAACTTACTATAAATAAATACTTAAACATTTGAAATACAAATTACAATACAGAGCATAGAGAGTGGTGTAAGAGTAGAGTCTTTGCCACTAATACACAGCAATGGGTTTTGTGTCTCTCATGTCTGATGTAAGTTAAAAACTTCCCTCAGCTCTCTCTCTCTCTCTCTCTCTCTCTCTCTTTCTTTCTCTCTCACTCTCTCTCACTCACTCACTCTCTCTCTCTCTCTCTC